ACAGGGTCTGTCCATGCCTGACTCAAGTCCCACGTGAAATCCTGGCTGCAGAGAGACGGAACAGAATTTCAGCCATGGATTTCAGTGAAGCCAGGGTTTCATTCATAATATGAAAAAAGGCCAGAAAATTTTTATGTAACAAGGGAAATACTTGTGATGATTTTGGGTTGAATAGGGATGTAAATAGATATATTTGCTGTAATGTAACTCTCTCTTACGTGTTTGCTGGGCTGCAAACACATATATGCATAGCAAGCTGCCAAAAGTTAGAAAATGGTCTCATGTTTTTGTTTTTTTTTTTTTGCTTTTTTTGGGGTAGAGTGGGGTGGGGGGGGGTTACACATAATCGATGTTTCAGTAGTTGAGAAACAAAAACCAAGGTCATTTTTTCCTTTTTGGCAATAAAATGCTGTAGAGCTGTATGGCATGCATAGTAGTAAAGAGCTGCGATGGGTATATGTAGTGGCAATAGTGGAAAAGAGAAGGTGTCAAAAGAGGACTAAGACAATTTGTAAGACTAATCTGGAAAGATAGGTTTAATTCTTTAAAAGAAAAACTAAAAAAGAAAGCTTCCCCAAATTCTTTGTCGCTACGAGTTTACTGCCATCACCATCCTTGAGTTTCTCATTACAAGGAGCTCTGTCGTCCAATTACCACTAGGATGCTGCTGGGGTCTCTCCTTACCTTCTGTAGGTGCCTTCCGCCACTGTGACAGGCTGGTAGCTCTTCTAGCAAACTTTTTTTGTGGGCCAGTCCTTTTGTCCTCGTCATGTTTCGGCTAATCTCGTTGCTCTTTTCCACACACCCTTGACCGTACAGACATCCCCTACACGTACCTCGGTGTTTTTTTCCCATCCTTTACAGTGACGGGTCTTGTGCGCCCGTCTTCGTCTTAATCCGTGGTCTCTTTGCAGCTCCCAAACAGCATCTGAGCCTGGGCTCTTTGCTGCCTGTGAAAGCGACTGGGAACCCCCCCCCCCCTTTGTTTTAATTGGCTCTGTGAGCCCACCGCAGATGGTCTGCACCTCATACATAATAAAGATTTTTTTTCTTCTGAGGCATGTTCCTGTGAATGTAAGAGGCAGACATGCTGGCAAGCTTGGACCTCTGTTTTTATATTTTTTTTTAAGTGAGCCTTGGGGGACTTGTTTGCCATAGCTTGGAACTTCTTAATAGCTTGCGGAGCTCAGTAACGTCTTGGTGCCAGAACTAAGAACCTGTTTTGTCCACTTGATCTTTTCTTTGGGAAAATTATATACGTTAGCAGAATGAAGTTAGGGCACAGCTGGACAAGAAAAAGAAATGAAGCGAAAGCACTCCAGGAATTGATGAAAATCAGTTGCTTTAAGGAGGTGGTCTTCTAATAAAAGTATAGCAGCTTTGTGCTGACTGTGTTTTGAAGTACTTTGGGGTGGTCTATTATGACTGTATATTTTTTATTTCAGGTGTTTTTTTCAATGAGCTCCACTCTGCATTATTTTTAGGCTTGAATAATAAACTCTATGTACTAAAATGTACCTAGGGCTTTATGTAGGAGCCAAAGAAAGAAGAGAACTGGCACTTTCAAGTGTCAAATGGTAGAAGTCTTAGGTATCTCAACACTCCTGCTTCCCAATTCTTTGGTATATTGCCACATGTGCATTTTAAGTCTCTGAGTGTTACAGTAGTCATAAAAATTAGGGGAACTTGGACAGGTAGGCATATGGAGAAGATCTGTTTCCTAGGTCTTGGTGCACACATGCTCTGATTGTCTGTTAGGCATGGAAGCCCCCTCCTCAGGACTGTTCTTGATCTCAGCAGCGTGCTTTGGGAGCTGCAAACATAGGACATAAGAAGAAAAAAATTGGATATACATTTATAGCAGCTAAAACTATAGCTGCTGGTTTTAGTAGCTTATTTGACTCCGTCAGAAAGGATATGTCAGGGTCAGAAGTAGGGTTTTGTTTCTTGAAAAGATCAAGGTAAACATAGCCTGAACTAAATTAATTGTGTTCCTGGTAGGGAAAAAATTTTACAAGTATTTTGTTCCTTCCCTGTTTTGCATGTGGATGCTGTAGGAGGGTTACTCATTAGACAGACAGTGACAGTTACAGTCCAGAATCAACTCGAATTTCAAAGCGTTTGTTAAAATACTTTGGAGTTCAAGTGCCTAAAAGAATAGTTGGCTCTTGGAGAAAAAAAATACTGGGGTCAGGTAAGACAACTTGGATCATTCTTTTGCGGAGTAAAGGGTGTCAGAGAAAAGGGCTGTAAAGAGTGAATAGAAGAAATGAAATCTTCTGAGAAGAGATTAACTCCAGGAAGCATGCTAGCCGGACAGTGGTGATAAGCAACACAGACTGATCATAGGATCATTCAAGTAGGAAGGGACTTGAGGAGGTCTCTAGTTCAACCTCTTGCTCAAAGCAGGGACAACCGTGAGGTCAGACCAGCTTGCTCAGGGCTTCATCCAGTTACGTCCTGAAAGCCTCCAAGCACGGTGACAACACAACCTCTCTAGGCAACCTGACCTCATGGGGAAAAAGTTTGTCCTTAGATCCAGAAGGAACCTCTCTTATTTCAGCTTATATCTGTTGTCTCTAATCCTCCCACCATGCACCACTGTGAACAGCCTGGATCTGACTTCTTAGTGACCTCCTTGCGGGTACTGGAAGGCTGCTATGAGGTTTCTCTGAAACCTCTTCTCTGGGCTGAACAGGCCCCGTTCCCTTGGCCTGTCCTCACAGGGCTAAGGAAGGCTCCAGCCCTCGATCGTCTGGGCCCTCCTCATTAATCTCGCCACGTTTCTCTAAGGCTCAGCAAGCTGAGTGACATGGGAGGCCTGTGCGGTCATTGCTGGGGCTCGCCTGTGGAGGTCCTGCACGTTGTGGCCATAGCCTGGAGTGGGTTGGTGGCTGCATGCAAGCAATGCTGCTCTCGCCAAGCTTATCTAAGGTATGTGGGTACTTCTTCTGGCCATCAGCTAGAAGCACTGCCAGAAAGCTGGTCCTACTGGCTGGCCTGACCTTGGCCTTCGCAGTAGTTTCTGGGTTAATAGTGTGGTATTACTAATTCCGGGGGTTAATTTAGAAAAATATTAGCCTGGCCTTCAAAATTCATGACACTGTTTAAATGCTGTAAGCTGTTACAATAAATGCCATGGAGTTTCTTTTAATTTGCTGTGTGGTTTTTGAGCTGCTGGGATACACGTTTTCAGCATTTATCCTTGAAGATGAGCGTTAAAGGTATAAGTAATCTTAAAAAATGTTAAGTGTCCTGTGATTGTGTGTCCTGCAGGAGCCAGGGCTTTAAGAACAGTACCGAATATCATGAAATTTGTGATTTGATTGCAAGTTAGGCAGCCTCCTGAACAAGGATCTGTTGCTTTTCTGTTTAGTCTCAAACTGCTGAAAAGGAAATGCTTATCTAAGAAGGTTTTCTTCAAATAATGAACCATATCTGTAAAGTTCTGAAATGGTATTTGGGTTAGCTGCTGTTATATGCTCATCTGCTTGGGACAGTAATTAAAACGTACATTAACGCTGCAAGGCACGTAATCACCCAGGCACACTATAAATTGTTTGCTGAGGACAACAGTATATGTGTTTATACAGAGAGTTGTATGTTTGTATGTATTCTACGTAGACACAAATAAATTTAATATTTCATATATTTAATTTCATTAACTGCACCTGTGGTTTGTTTGTTTTTTTTTTTTTTTTTACATATTTAACCTGTCCCCGTCAAGCCTTATTTATTTCTTATCAGCGCGTCTTACAGTGATTACACTAAAGATTAAATTGTCAGGATATTCAAATATTTCTCAACGAGTCTTTCAGTTGTCTGCAAGTATATGTATGAGCAGGGCGTCAGGAATTACTGTCTCTGCAAGATTCGCATCATCTGAGATGATTCGATTCCCCATACGCACTGCAGATGGGGGCGGTTCTCCTACAGCACACCAGGCTTGGCCCCTCTCTCTCAAACTGCAGGGTAGCTATTCACCTAGAGACGGGCTTTGTGGAAGAGGCCCTTCTCGAGTGAAAAAGCACGATCGTTCTTCAGCCGTTAGCTAGCGTGTTGTCTAGAGCTGGGTTTAAGCGTGTGATGTTGATTCCATCTCTGGCTTCGTGAACAGTGAGCAGTGTCCTTAGCAAATCGCCAGTCGGAATTTATGGACTGCACAGTTGCAAAGCGAGGTATTACCATTGTCTGAAACACGGTCAGTCTTTTTACTGGAAAACAAGCTTGGTCATAAATAACCCACAAGATGTTTAAAAAATGGTTGTGTTACTCCTATACAGGACAGTCCATCAGATCAGGTTTACTGTTATTTTGCAGACTACGTGACTTGGAAGTCAAAAAGCAGGTGTCTATCCCTTTCGCTTTGCTGAAATGCATGCAGCATACAGTTCGAAACAATGCTGCTGTCCTGCTTTACAATGCAGATAACTTCTTTTCTTGTATAGTTTGTCTCACTGTATGGAGAGTAATTTGAAATGTATATGTATGCACGCCTCTTGATCTGCTGCGTTTTCCTCAACGTTACAGTTGCAGTCTTCTGTCAAAGATGGTCCTTCTGTGCAGTATGATCATTGAGCTAGCGGATTAACACAGAGAATCTAGCATCTAGCAATGCGTTGATAAAAGGGCCACAAACAGAATAAAATCTTTGTGTGGGGAATTGTTGGAGAATTGCTGCCCTTGCAAAGTTAAAGTGTGTGTGCTGAAGAATGTCTCGCGCTTTTCTGCCTACGCTCTGATATAGGACCCAATTTTTAAAGATGGATGTTTCTATAAAACTTTGATTCTCTTTGACTTGCCCACATGTCCAGAACTCTGTGCATTTGAGACCTAAAAGCAGTGTTCAGGCGTCCTTTCTTACAACTGACGTTGATGATCTTGCTCATGAGTTACAAAAGCAGGAAAAATAAAACCCTTACCCGACATTTGCTGCTTCAGTTGATACGTATTTCCATGTTTGTGCATGGTGAAAGATTATTCTTTTAATTATTTTTCAGCACATTAGCCTGGATGCAGTCTCCCTGTAAGGAGCGTGAAATTTACAGCTGCAGAACTACAGTTTTAAGCCACAAAAGCTCTTCCTCATCTGAACCTTCATTCAAAACACAGGATGAAAGTAGCTGAAGAAAAGTTGTTTATGACATCGTCTGCAGGACTCTGAGAAAATTCTTCGGGAACTTGAGGTAAGACTGAAAAAAAAATTAGTTTTAAAGTAGAAACTGATATGAAGTGTGAAAGTATAGTTGTAGAGCAGAGAAGATACTGTTTGTGCTGAAATGTCTCTAGCAGCGATTCCATGCAAGAAAAACACATCCGTGTAATACTTCTTCACACAACGAAAAAGGAAAGGACGGTAACCCCAAGATTATTACTAGGATTAAAGGCATGTATTTGAAGACACAGTTTGTTTTTTGCTGTTCAAAAGAAAAACATATAGATTTATGCTTGCTTTATTTTCTGGTAATGTATGTCAAAGTACAAAAATGTTCAGCTATGAAAAATAGGTTTTAGAGCAAGCGTGAAAAGTATGAAACACTAAGTAACACAGTAGGTGTTGGCTTGCTTAGCTTCTGAGAAGTAGCTGAAATTTTTGCACTGCACACGGTTAATGCAGTTACTTTGTTCTTAGTATCTTTGTTTTGTATTCAGTAGTGATACCCATTATCTACATTTGGTGAATGAAATTTTTTCACTATATTTCCTCCTCGTTGCTCTGTCAGTTCAGCATAGCTGGGTGGGATGTCATCATGATACCTTTTCTGTGACTGTAGTCTTAGTGTTTCTTATACAGAGTATTTTCAAAAGGATAGTAATGCATTCTCATATGCATAAGTCCGTTTCTCCTGCTTCTGTTTCGAGTTATGTGTATAACAAAATTCATGCCTTAAGACCTCGTTGTCTAAATGTGCGTGGGTACAGTACTTAGTGCTGCAGGTTTCTCGTCCGTACTGATATGAAATGTTTCTTATGGCAAATAATGGAATGGTCACTTTATAGGAAATTTGGCCAGGGCATACAAATGATGTGGTTTTCATTTGTTTATAGCCAGACAAGCTTTTAATTAAGACAGTCATGGACATAAGCATCCTTCCAGCCCTCGTATCTCATCTCCCTTGCTAACATCAAAGGGAGTATCAGTGGTAGAAAACATTGCAGTAGGTAGTAAGTGTTTGTGGGAGAATCCATAGCATGCGTATCCATATATTTTTTTTAAATCTAGTTATTTCCTGTCTTCTGTATATATGCATAAAGAAAAAGCATGCATACTTTTTTTTGTAGTCCTTCCAAAGGCTGTAGATAAAAACGATAGCTGTACAGTAGTACCACGTTCTGTGCGTACCGGAGACCACCAGAGACAGTAACAAAAATGTGCAAAGACTTACATAACCAATCCGTCAGTCTTTTATTTGTAGAACTGCCTGATGTAAACTGATCTTTTACTTATAAATTTATTGTACTGCTCTGTAGCCCGCACAGTGAAACTGTGGTTTAAATCAAGAACAGAATAAAAGTGGAGATGAACGGGAATCCTAACATACTATGGTATCACTTTGTTTGACCTAAGAAACATGTATGTCGATGACTATACGTGTGTGCATGCACACGTTTGCATAAATACATAAAATGTTCTGGATTTACTGTTTCTGAAGACAAAGCCCTCTCTGTAATGAACCTTTTAATTTAATGGGTTGTTTATCTCCTGTGTTGGTACTGGCACAGTTGAGATCAGCTGAGATACCAGTGCCGGAGTGCCACCGGTGTGTAAGAAACAGGGCTGCTAGCAGGGCAGTTTCTATGAGGGCTCTTCAACTCTGTGATTTGATTCCCTCACCTATTTGACCAAAATCGAATGTGCTGGCTATGAAGCCCATGTATTATCTTTGTTTGGGGTTGTGAATGGGTACTGGAAAGGTACTGGGTGGGTTGTGAGTTTCCAGGCTTGAAAACATTCATGTGGAGTAGTGACCACCATTGATGAAGTGTCGTCAGTTGGGTGATTTTTGTCTTGGTTTATGTCTTCAATTATATGGCAGTGACGTTAAGCAGCTGGGATTTGTGTGTTCTTTTGTTTTACACTAAATTTAAAAGATGAATAGCTCACCGTAAGAATTCTGTCATGAAAACTGGAAAGAGAGGAAAACATGAAGCCATTTCAGAGGTCAGTGTTCTTATTAAGATAGTTACTGTTGCTCCCTGTGATGTACACAAGTCTAGTAATACATATATCTCTTTAGGACTAGACCTCTGAGTAAATTGCAAGATCAGAGACTAAATTGCAGTCTCTTAAAACTCTGTGATCTATTCCAAGAACTCCAATGGCATGAAGTGTTGTGCTTACCCTCTGCAGGTTGATATTCGTTCATGGAGGAAGAACTCGAGCCAACACTTAAAATCAGATAATGCCCAATGGTATTGCCACAGTTAAGTGAAATTATTGTGGGCAAAACCACCTGCAATGTGTAGGACAAGTAGTAACCTGTGGAGCAGTGAAGTAACACTTTCTTTCTCTCTGTTTTATTATTTTGTTTCACAAGTTTCTTAGTAATAGTGCAGTTTATGTCCAAAAAACTAACCAGGGTATCTTGGGCTAAACATCTACCTACCGTTCAATACTCTTACTATTTTCTCATTCCAGTGGTTCTTCTCTTATGTATTCATAAGAGGCTTTTTGGAGCAAACCTTAAAAGCTTTTTAAGGCCAAATAAATCTTCCTTCAAATATGCTTACTCTGGATACTCTCAGGGGGGAAGAGAAAACGTTCTCCCATGCTTCAGGTTTCCTGGATAGGTTCAGTCCACTCTGTCAGCAAACATACATCTGCGTTGCTCCGGATATAAATAGAAAGGGAAGTCAATAAGTCAAGTCTTATCTCACCTGTTGTAAAGCGAGAAATGAAGCATTTTGAAAACAGCTGCAGACGCAGATAGAAATTAACTTTACTCATTCTAATATCTCAGTTTCTGGCCCAGGGAACATGATGTTCCTAAATCCTCAAACCGGCAGAGGGGAATGGCTGACCCTGTGCTTGTTACATTTCTTGAAAGTTAATTTAGATGTGTGTAGATGAAGAAAGATGTTTGGTGGTTTTGTTTTTTCTCAGCTGCAGCTTTCCTTATAATTCCACAAGCAAATGAATAATTTGGAGTCTTCATACCAAGAGCTTTAGACCCATCTGTGAAAAGCAGATTCCCTTGTACACAAGGGATCTTGACTCAGCTGGTGAGAAATGCATATGGAAAATGGACAATGCAGTTGCTCCAATATTAAATCCCTCTTGCAAGCCTATCATTCAAGTCTAGGCTTCTCTCCAGTCCACAGGAAATGACTGATAATCCTATTTTTTTTCAGAGAAGGAATGTACTGGAATATAAATCAGGAGGTAACATAAAGATTAAGACATATCCTCAAGTTAGTTAATTCGTTTGAAAGGTATTGCCTTCTCCATCCAACTCAAATGATAGCAGTAAAGCAGGGAAAGCTAATTACGGGAGAAGCTGGTTGCCTCGTATTTCCATTGTTTTCAGTTCCTTAGAATATTGCCAAAAAGTAAGTAGCTGGAATGAACTTTCTGAACATCTTATTCGGACTTACTGTCATAGAGTAATTTCAATCAAAATAGCTGTTTCGGAGAACATGGCAATCTTAGCTTTGGCACCTTACAGATTTTGAGGACTTTTATGCTTTAACTGTAACCTTTTTCTCTTTGATGGGAAACTTTATAAAGGTCCTCTTAATATAAGCCCTTGTTCGTACGCTCAGTTGCTGATTGAATCTCCAACTGAAAAGTGATTATAAGATGAGTGTATGTTCCTTATGAACCTTTCTCCAACAGGTTTCAAAAAATGGACGCATACAGAAACAAATATTGCAGTGGTCTTCAGGATGTAGTTCTTCTCTCTATTGGAAAAGATCCTGTGAGAAAAAGTGGCTCAGCTACTGCTAAATTTAAAAAACAGAATTTAATTTGAAGATTCAGGGAACAAAAGGAGGTTGTAAGAAACAGAATGAGAAGGTAAATTCCCCAAGTAACCAGGAAAAAAAGGCAGTGACGTTACTTTAGAGTATTTTGGTATTAATCATATTCTTTCTTTTGTTTTTGCTAAATACTGTATTTGTACAAATTACCAAACTGGATACCAAATATTTTCATAATCTCTCAGTATTACTTTAGTACTTTCAGTAACTTGCCTATATTAGTAATCAATGAAGTGGAATGATTAAGAAAACTGTTTTGCCTCTATGAATTGTCATTTTTGGAAGCTACATGCACCTAAAGTGGAAGCTGCAGGTGTGCTGTTCTTAACAGGAGAATTCAGGGCACCTCTGCCGTATGCATAAATGTCCTCTGTGTTCTTGCTGTGTGAAATGAATCGGGAATTCTTTGTTCTAACTAAAAAGAAGTTGCTCTAATTCATTGCCACGAGTAAGGATGGCTTAGTTACTTAAAGCCTGTTAAATACATCCTGATTTAAAAAAATCAAAATTTTACCTTAAGTGAGATATTACTAAAAATGTTGTCCTTGAAGGAAATAAAATGAATAAGGCAAAACTGCAGTCATCCTGTACTCCAGATACGTTATCCAGTGCTGAATTTTGGAGTGTCTTGATGTTGGAGCTTTGGGGGTTTTATTTGCTCTAGCAGCCTAACCACTACAGTTAGGAAGGAGATTAGCAATGTGTGGCTATTCCTGGCAGATATCGCACTCTAGATCGAATTACTTAGGTGATTGCTAACACAAAATGTTTTGTGCCTGTGTATGTAATTGATGGCAAAGCACCTTCAACCAACTTTCAGGGAAAGGAATGTGAGAAGCCTGCCTTTTCTGGAAAATTAAACCCACCCCAGGGAATGAATAAGTGGATCTTTATAGCTGCCTACTGTCCTGTCTCCTAAGAAGTAGCTGTCATTTTAAAGACAATTATTCTGGCCTTAGCTCCGTGACAAGAGGAACTCATCTGATAAGTATTTGGCACATTGTAGGATATGCTGTCTCGTATCTCAAAATTACCTCTATTTCACCGTACTGGCATACGGAGTGATGCGTTATTGCTGACTCACCGGGCAAATGGACTGCACTGCTTTCTTTAACGGTTTAGTCTGTTATCTAATGATGGTTTTTTTTTTTTTGGTTCCCAAGGTTTTTTCCAGCAGTACTTAATAGGCACGTCCTGCAATGTGGCC